TCATTTTAGAGAAGAAACTAGTATGAACAGATCTGATTAAGGCATATAAAATCATGGGTTTCAAGAGGAATCTCAGCAGGGATGATTAATTTGTGTTTCTTATAGTGGAGGAATTAAATATGAGTAAGTCCAAAGCCAAGGGGAGTTGTTTTTAATGTGGTGCTGGTGCCTGAGCATTTTCTGTAACTGATTTCAACAAAAGCAGAGAAGCCAAAGTAATACTGATGGAACTAAATGTTCTTGTTGAATGGTTAGAAACAGCCCAAGCAGAATGTTGTATCTAAGCTGCTTATTGCTGGATGTTGTGAGGATGTAGCCAGGGGAAAAGCAGAATGCTAGCCCTTTTTCCAGAGTTCCTTGCCTAAGTACTTTGTGGTGGTCAGAAACAGGATACTGGGCTAAATCAATCTTTGATCTACTAGGAATTGCAATTATTTTTTTATTTTAAAAATTAAATGCCATGTAAATGTGATTATACAGGCAAGGAATTATTAGTACTAGCTGAAGACAAGCAAATTATTTCCAGAAATAACCAGTTCTGTTTCTTCCAGAACAGGATTTCTCAAATTCACAAACTATTTTCATAATAAATCTTTTTATGGAAGCAAATCTTCTGTTTTGCTGAAGAGAATACCTATGTGTGTAACTGGCTATAATAGAAGTACAGGTCCTTTACCCATTCCCTAGTTAAATTATGGAGTTTTTTGGTGTAAGAAGTTGTGGATGCTGAAAATACACCAGTGTTCCAGGGAAGCTTGGCAGTTCATGGATGAGAAATTGCCAGAATATTGAAAAATAGAGTGGAAAAATAAGTGATGTCCAAATTGATGTATAAAGAAAAACAATAATTGGCTTAGGAAGTCTCTCAGCTGTTAATGGTTTGAGGCTGGGAGAATACACACAGACTTCCTTATTCTTGCATAAATTGTAACCAATAAATTAGTGAAAGCTAAATATTTTTTCAGTTTTATTGAGCTTTTAGAAGTTACTAAGTGCCTTTATTTTCCTTGCCTCATATTTCTTGTCTTCTAGACAGTAGCATTTTGTTCCCTTTTTCAACCAGAACAATCTCAAGGGAAACTACTAAAAAAAAAAAAAACAATAAACTTGAAGCTTGTTAAAGAATGAAGGGTGTTACTACTGTGTTGAGCCAACCACTTGAAAGACACTTGAGGATAAAACTGCAAAGTTCCATATTGTAATGCTTAGAAAAAAATTATTTTAAAGAAGAATGTTTTGGATGAGTAGCCTTTATTTAAATTTGTGCATGATAAAGCATTCCAATGGAACATGATAATAATGTTTTCTTTTTTGTTGTCCTGTAAATCTCAGTGCTTGACTCTAAAAAATGAACGAAAATATTTAATAGCTTGGTTTATAATTTGGCAGATTGCGTTGTGTAATCTAACTGTTACAATGGGAATAATTCTAAGAGTGCTCAGATATTAGATACTATATTTATAGTAAAGACACTATTTAAAATAATGATTTTTTAATTTTTAAGGAGTTGTGGTAGAACAGCAGAATATTTTTGGAGTATGTGGTATAGTTGCATTGCTGTAGACTTTTGAACAGGGGAAATAGTTAAAGAAGTCAAAGATTTTCAGTGAACTGATTAGGAAAGACCATGTAGCTGTGACATTCATGTTTGAATAATTCTAGTTAGAATCAAGTTTTCAGTTTTTGTAATCCACTATGTGTTTCACTGGCACAGAACAAACAGACTTTTCAGTACAGCTGCTTTCTGGTCTGATACTTTTATCTTAAGGATGTCTGCTTTTCCATCTTCTAGAGAAGCCTGGGAATTGTTATATTTACAAAAATTATGTGTTTTGAGGAGCTAATTCTTAACTTCCTGTGCCTTAAGGAATGTTTAAGCCTTTAAAGGAAGAGTAAGTTTTCTTCTATAGCAATCAAAATGTTTTGTATATGAATGCAGTTATATGTAGCAATTAGGTGCTGTATTAGTATCTGAATTAGCAGCTCTGGAATATGGCCAGCTTGTGCCAGGAAAGCAGCCAGTAGCCTGGAGGAGAAATACTTTAATTAATATGTAATAATAACTGCTCTAGAGAGCTCTCAGCATTCTGGCAAGCTGCATTTGTGATTTTTTGTATTACTTAGGACAGTTGTAATATCTGTTTGAAAAAATGTGGAAGACAATTCAATGTACATTTTTCACACATGCATGAAAAAGTGTAAGTGTGCTTGAAAACATACTTAAATGAAGTGAGATAAAAAATCACTTGGATCTATTGAATATATTTTAAAGCCACAATTTTTTTCACAGAATGAAGATATCAGAGCAAGAATTATTTACCTTAGGACATTTAAAGGTTTACTCATGTACTCTTCAGTTTATCTTTATTTTTGGTGCTAGGTTTCTTCACCAAGGAAGAAGACAGTACATTTTCTCTATCTATGCATATATGTGAAGTTCAACTTCAGGAATATTATTTTTAATAAACAATAAACCTGTTAATAGAGGACATGCCAACCATGTCTCTAAATTACATTTCTGTAGGCTAATGAAGCAACTTACTAACCTGAAGTTGTAATTTAAAGGGCTTCAGTTTTCATTAGGTAGAAAAGTGGTACAGCATGGGCTCCCACTTCTGCAGAGGGACTTATTCCCACATGACCATTCCATTCCGGAATGCTTCAGATAAGGCATCATTTATCTTGTCTGTTTTGTTGTAAACCAGTGGAAACCTTCTCTTTTAAGCTCTGCCCTGTCATTATTGTAATAATAAGAGAGAATCAAGTGATAAAAAAGCATAATTTTTCATGAATACTTGGAAGCACAAAGAGAAAAAATCAACATGTTATTAGTTTAATTTGAGCTGAAAGTCTTCACTTCAGCCTTTTATATTCCAATTATTTTATTAGCTGTATAGGCCATTAAAGAACACTGTAAGCCTTGACTTCACTAAGGAGAATGGTAATAAAATCACAGCCTGTAGCTCTAAAGTAATTTATTTTGCTACTTTATACAAGCTACTTAAGCCCAGTTTCAGATGCCCACTTTCTTTGCCTGTCTTGTCTCCATAAACAGGGTCCATATGAGACTGGATTCTCAAAAGCTGTCATCTCTGGTGGGCTTGTCTCGTGTCTGTTGCCTTTGTATCTTTTTGTACCCGGGCAGGAAGGGTGACAGGAGGTTCAACCATTCCTCGGTACCTTCCTACCATGTGAAACTTGTGATGGCTGCTTCTCAACACTTAGCTGCCTCTTGGCCTTGCAGGAGAGGGTCTCTGATTCTTAGTGCTGCCTGCTTACAAACTGTGTATGAGGTCTCCTCCCACCAGCAGCCATCTGGGCTGTAATAGGGGACAAATCTCAGAGGAGTTATGCCCTGACACACCTAAGGTGCTCTCGAGCATACCTCAACTGCAGAGAAAGACTAGACCTTTCTTAAACTTGGTCTTTGCCATTCAGGCAGTGTCACAGGGTCTTTGCTCTTCCTTGTCTCTTGTGCTGTCCCTTCATACAGCTTGAGTTTTTGCTGCAGAGGTGCAAGGCCAGCAGGGCTATCGTGTATGGGGTAGTCCTACACAGGAAACACAGGAAATGGCCACAAAAGTACCTCACTCTTTAGACTGTGCCTTGAAACTTTTATTTTATTACATGATCAAAAAATTCCAGTAACACACATCCTTCTCTCCTTCCCCTAAACAGTTCCCATTGTTTGTTGAGAGCATTGTTTGCCCTGAAATAAAGGTTTCATTCCTTGTACTCATTTCTGGTTTTCTCTAGCCATTAATTCACTTGTCTTTCATTTACATTGTAAATTCTTGGAAGAAACAAGTTTTTGCTTGTTAGTTTCTTTTTCTGTCTTTAGTGCCTTGTACAGTGATGTCTTAATCAGTGTGTAGGGCTCATTGGCACTTCAACAACACATCTCCTAAGCCTTGGTAGTGGTAGATCTACTTGCAAATATACTTCATTTAGTCTTGTGGTTATATGCTTTTCCAGATAATTTTATTTGCCTTCATCACTGAATCACAATTGTTTATCTAACTATGTCTTTAGGAAAGATATTCTAAACAAAATTTCAGTTACACAGATTTAAAACTTTCAGATTGAGTTACCCTGTCTTCTGTACAATTCAAAGTGAAGCTAAAATATTTTTTCCAATTAATTTTAAATTAGCAGCTTTTTCCACTTCCTGTTTAGACCATTTTTTTCCCCATATAGGAGAGGACATTTTCAATATATATGTTACTATATATATCAAACATACTAGTTGTTACTATTAGCTGTGCTAAAAAAACCCACTTGTGGCTGAAACTATAGTGGACTCACCTGAATTGAATCTTAGTGATCTAATAAACCAAGTACAGTTTTCACAATGTCTGTAAAGCTGGAGCAGTATCAAAATTAATTAAAATTTCCCATTATATATGGAAGTGGTTTTACTAACTCAACTTTGTTTAGCATAAAGTCACATTTCCAATGTGTATATTACAGTATAAAAGCCTATTGTTGATTACTCATTATTGATGTTCAGTATGATCTACATCTAGTAATGAAGTATAAGAGTTTTCAATTTTTTTTTCAGCGAATTTAAAGTCATTTAAAGTCATTAAGGTCTAGCATTAAGTCAAGTGAAATGAACTAACTGATGTCAGAATGGATATATGGCTCTTCAAAGGTATCTTTAATGACCTAGGCATCAGTTTGAATATTAGAGTAGTTACAGGAGAAATGTCTGTGTGTTTATAAAAAAAAAGAGTAGAAGTAATAGCTAAAAAAAAAGTTAATTTGTTCTTTGAGCTGATAAAATCCAAATTATTTGATTATGTAAATTGTTAGGCTTTTTTTACCATGTTAGGTAAATACATTTTAAGATATAATTAAACATTTTTTAAATAGTTATTCAATTGCTACTGAACTTTAGTTCAGCAACATAAAATCCTAGATGAAAACAAGTATGAACTGAAAGCTGAAATCACTTGATCTTCTAAAATGTTGTCTTTTTTTTTTCTTCTATCTTGCAGCATGGGTGAGCTCTCTTTCTATGGGAATGGTCTTCTTCTGTTCCCCAATAGTCAGCATATTCACAGACCTGTTTGGCTGTCGAAAAGTTGCTGTTGTTGGAGCTGCAGTGGGGCTTGTTGGACTCCTTTCGAGTTCTTTTGTAAGGTAAAAAACTTAAGTTCATAACTTTCAAAGTATTTTATCAATTTTTTATTGTTGTGATGTTGATCTAATCAACAGAAGGGGCAAACAGTGCTGCTTTACATTATCTGTAGAAAATTTGTTTTATTTGGGTTTAGTTTTGTCTTTCAAACTCTGACTTGTAAACTTTCAACTTAAAAAGTATTTTAAAAAATATAATATTTATTTTAAAAACCCAAAACAAGAGTCCCTATTTAACAGGAATTAATATGTATATACATATCAACAGCAAGACTAGTGCTATAAGATCAACAGCGTTGTCCAGGATAAACTTGTATGTTTGCTTGATGTATATTGTGTTTTAACAGGTGCATAAACGTTGTTGTCTTCCCTTCCTGCTCTGTCCCCTTAATTTTCTTTTGAAACAGTTTTAACGGTGATAAAAACACAGTAGGGCCTCCAGGAAGCTGTTAAAATTCTAGTGAAATTGGATGTTTACTTCTGTTCTTACTGGACCTATTGCCAAACATGGAGATATAGTCAATATACCAAGGTTTTCTCTACTTAAGGCTTGCTTGTTTTCTTCTAGTTTGCAATTAAGCTGTATGTTTCTTTTCATTGTTTCATTCGTATGTAACTTTTGCAGAGTAAATCTTTAGTATTTCAAGAGTGACTGATTTGTTGGATATACCCTGTAGAAGATGAGGAAACAGGAAATTTACTTAGTTTAGTCACCATCAGAAATTGGTTAGTGAAGGTAGGGTGTAAAATGTAGCAGGAAAATAATCCAGTTACATCTAGTTCTCAGACTATTTTTTTGCTCACTCTTAGCAGAATAAGTATAGGAACCATTAAGTTACATTCAGAAGAGCTTCCACTTAATCACAAATGTATTTATACAGGCAAAAAGCTTGTGAAAATGTCTTTTCTGTGCTTGTATTCTGAACCAGATGGATGTGAGCTGCTGTGATCTGAATGATTAATCCTGGTGCAAATATTTGCCTTAATTTTATTAAACAAACAAACAAGCCCCCCACTTTTTATATGCTTTAAGAAGCTTCTTACTAAATGTGAGATAAAAACTAAAAGATGTGTCTTGGAAAAGTCTTTCTTCCTCCTTGCTTCCTCGTAATATGTTGAATGATGAATATTAAACTACCCTTGTCATTAGATAAAGATCGTTCTTGTGTTTGTCTGATACCCAATGGAACAAGGCCACAGAAGAGACATGCAAGAGCAAGTTGTTTTGTAAAGGCTTTAAAATCATTCCAGCTTAACTAAACTTTGAAGAGCACTTTGAGAGGTGAATTCTCATAAGAGTACATGCCAGGTTGATGTGCATACTTGGTGTTTCATTATGTTACTCACACTAAAATGATTTATGCCTGTGATGTTATCAGCTCATTAAACGAGTGTAGTTCAGATACAGAAGTCAGTGTTCTAGTAGTAAAATATTGTAAAGCAGACATGTTACTATGATCTACTGCTTTTGCATTGCACTAATTTCTTAATATAAATTTTATGTCTTAGGAAATTGAGATGTGTTTATAATGCAGGACAATATTTTAATATGCATGTTGTGCTGCAGAATCGGAGTGAATTTACATATGGAAGCAAAAGTTCACTGTCTTCACTGTATGGTGTTGCTCCTCTCGTTTTATAACTTCTGTTTTTATTTTTCCTGATTATTTGCCATTAATAAAGGTAATAAGTCTTTCCCCCTTATGTTGGTTTTGCTGGCTTATGTTGTGTATCAACAGTTTCAGAAATTGACAGTTTAATATAGAAAGTGACAAAGTTATGTTACACAAAATTATTTTTCACTATAATACACAAAACCAGAGTTCCTGGAGTCAGACCTTTGTTAGTCAAATACTATTTTCTAAGAAATTCTATAATTGCATAGGAAGAAATGTTGAACCTACATTTGGCTAATTTGCCCTGACAATGATTTTTAGAACTTTTTTTAGCCACACTATTTGATGTAATTATCATTGAATGTAATTTTTCTTTTTTTTACCTATTCAGTGAATTCTATGAATTTTTTCAGTGGAAGGAGATAGAATAGTTGCCGAATTAAGCTGATACAATGATATTCAGCTATAAGTATATACAAACTCTTATTTACGGTAGTGAGTTATGCTGATTGATTGTGAAACTGTTTTGTTGTCACTTCCAGGTGAACGAGCATCCTTAGGCTGCTTTACAGAACACTGATTTGTTCTTTTCTTTTGGTGCAGCACCATTGAACCCCTGTATTTCACCTACGGGATCCTGTTTGCCTGTGGCTGCTCGTTTGCCTACCAGCCATCCCTGGTCATTCTCGGGCACTACTTCAAGAAGCGCCTGGGACTGGTGAATGGCATTGTCACTGCAGGCAGCAGCTTGTTCACAGTGTCCCTGCCCTTCCTCCTGAGGGTCCTCATCGACTCTGTCGACCTCTACAACACCTTGAGGGTCCTCTGCATCCTTATGTTTGTTCTCTTCCTGGCTGGATTTACATACAAACCTCTCGTTCCCAACACCAAAGAAAAGGAGGGAGGAAAGAAGGGAAAATTCAAATTACCTCCTGCGAAAAAGATTTGCAATTTCTCCGTTTTCAAAGTTCTCAGTTACCGAATCTGGGCTTTTGGGATCCCAGCTGCACTTTTTGGATACTTTGTGCCTTATGTTCACTTGGTAAGTTAACATTTCTTGCTACGTGAGATGTGTTTCAAACTATACATACTTGTTTGCCTTTGTGTTATTGATTTAGAAAGCAATTGGTGATAGGAAACCAGATTTAACTGCAAGTTGTGCTGGGGAGAAACACAAAATTAATTTGGATGTTTTCTTATTAAGAGTGCTTTAATCAGAAGTATTAGTTAAGCTAATTAAAATCTTTGTTCTCAATGCGAGGTTTAAAATACTTTAACTATGAAAAGAGAGATTTGAAAAATATTCTATCCTATTCCAAAGAGAATTCTTTATTTTGGTACTCATCTGCATACGTTGCCAATGACATACGTGTGTTTTAGAAGAAGTATAAAAGGAGTAAATAATGGGAAACATGTTAGAAGTGTAATTTTTGTTCCTTTGTATTGAGGTATGTTCAGGTGTCAGTTTTTAGGATCTATAATATTCACTATTTTTCAAGTTTATTAGAGGCAAAATACCTGTATTTTTCTGTCTCTCAAACTTCAGCCTTGTAGGTTACAAGTACAGCATTAATATAGTTGCTCCTCTTACCCTGTCCCTCTCAGCTGCACTGTTTTCCTGCTGTCTACTGCAGCTGATGGGGCTTTGGCTTCTGGTGATGGGGAAGTGTCAATTAGCCATTTCCTCTACATGTACAAGAGTTGTTTCCCTAGTAGGTTTTTTTTTTCTGTAGTACACTCCTAAACTAAGAAATTTAGGTGCAGCTGGTGATACAGATGGATGCATTTGTATTGGGCTGGCTGACACACATTGCACTGCTTCTTAAATGGTCAATTATTCATGGTCAGCTCGGTGGTGCTCTGAACTGAACCAACTGAAGTGGTACAGACTGAAAGGCTTAAAAGGGAAAGGTGGGGGAAAAGCCCACAATCTCCTATAAGATGCTGCTTTGAGACCATTACACATCCTCATATTAATGATAGAGCACTGGCTAGTAGAACTTAGTATGAAAACAGAAGGGTCATTTTAATATTCATTATTCACACGATAGAACAGTGAGATTAATGATAATAAATACCTTCACTTCTGTCAAAAAATCTTCAATACCTTAAAACCCATTTTTTATGCAATATAACAAGTGGCTGTCATTGCTTTCTCGTAATGGGTTAGATTATTGACTCTGTGTCAGATATTTATTTTTAAAGTTACCTTTTGGTGTGAGCTAGTGTGTTTTTGAGCAGCTGTAAACTGACTCTTATTAATGGTACATTCTTGTAACTTGGTTTTTAATCATGTAGATCTTATTGCATAACATTTCAAATTAGCCTATTTCAAAGGACTGTGCAATCCAGATTATATCTTATGCTATTTCCCCATAAGCTTTGTAGAGATGCTTTAAAATAAAACCAACTTCAGAGGAACAGGAATCAAGGGTTTTAGAGTAAGCTATTGGATAGGTCACAAATGATTCTTAACCCTTGCAGAAAACTGAAGAATAAGGCTACACAAACAGGCACAAAGAACTTCTAAAATATATTTATTGAATGAAAAGCTTATGTGTTTTTGTGAAGATGCTTGTATTGCTTCTTCCCGTTTATAAATCAGACTAAAACAGCTAGTTGGCTTGTAGAGAACCCTTATATTATTCTATACTCAACTACATAATATTATAATAATATGATTTTTCTTTTTATAGGGTGCTGTCACTCCTGTGAAGTGCTTTCCCCCCATCAGACTGGCAGAAATTCTGCTTATGAAATAAATCTCTAGTATAGGAAAACAATTTGATTGAGGCTGTTTCTAATATAGTGTTTGATAACACTATAAAACTTATTCCAGTGTACTGTTAGAATCTAATACTTTAAGGATTACCTCAAAATTATATGAAGATACTCTTTTTGTTCAGAGTTTCAGAGAAATTATGATGCTTAAGTGTTGATAACATAAAATCTTCAGCGGTAGACACACATGCTTTGTATGCTCCCTTTGAGAGGGGAAGCTTCAGCTCTTAGTAAACTTAGACTGAATAGCTCTTGTCAAAAACCTCCCCTGAAACCACAAGTTTTCATTTTAATTTTCTTGTATCTAAAACTGAATTTTACTTAAAGTCCCTGTGGATCTGTATTTGAGAAAGTGAATAAATTAGTGTTTATGAAGGTACAGCATGGATTGTGCCCTTCAACACAGATACTTCAGCTCAAGTAGATAGCTGTGGATGTCTTTTATCCTAGTTTTGTCTGCTTTTGATTAAAAAGCCACACTTTGTGTACTTTCTGAAGTACATAGAAGTATGTACTTACAAGTAAATCAAAGGCTATAAGAAAAAAATAAAATTTTCACTGGTACATCTACCAAACCAGAAATTACTTTCCTCAGCTTTTGAAAATGAAAGTTACTATTGTGTTGATGTTTATTGTATTTTTAAAACTCTAGTGGTACTGGAAAAGGACTATGATCCTTAGACAAGTGACAGCTTTTGTTATGTCAAAATTCTACAATTTTTCCCAGTGTTAGGCTGACAGCAGCCAGACTGCTCTACAGGGATGCTGGTTACAAGTGCCCTAAGCAAAAAATATTTATACAGTGAATGTCATGCCCTCTGACCTGTTACCTGTACTCACCAAGTCCCATTTTTCCCACCTGGAAAGACAGCTTCTGCCAGGATGGATGTTCCTGACCCTGTGCTGAAGCACAGGTGACAGAAACTCTGTGGGTTGGGGTCCTTGTGTCACTGCTTGACCCGTGGCACCTGGGGGCTGCAGGCTGGGTGTGCTGGAGACACTCTCTGCCAGCCTGGCACTGCTCAGGAGCTCCTGAGCTCCCAGCCAAGGGTCTCTGTGTGCTTCTGTGCCATCTCCAGCCTCTGTTCATGCCTCTTGCATTTTCTGAAGCAGGTTGGAAAGGAGAATACATGCTGTGGCCCCTGTTGTGAAAAGAAGTAAAAACTTCTTTGGGCTTTGAAATAACAGAATTAGCCAAGTCTTTGCAATTTAACTTTCTGCATTGTATTTGCTATATGGAATAAAAGCTGTTAAAACCAAAGAAACAACCTGCTCCTTAAGTAGCTCTAATTAAAATTAAATGCACTAACAGATTGATTATATGGCATGCTAGATAGGAACTGGTAACCCTTGCCAGCTCCTTGACATGAATCCTGACTGGTAGGTATCAGGCATCAGATTCCTTTTGGCTCTTGCAGGGGAGAACCAAAAGGGAGAGCTTTTCTTATCCCAGTTTAATTGGTGTCAAATTCCATCAATAGGTGTTCCATTACATGTAACTTGGGGATTTGGTTGAGATAAAGACTATAAATAAGTTTTGACTTAAGTTTATTATATACTTTCAGCATTAAATGAGATTGTTGAAAAACAAACTGATAGGTCATAAAATTACTAAATCAAATGGTATTCCTCTCAATTTTAAAACCAGTCCGTACTAGTGATTGAGATTTAATTTTTTGGTGCCTCTCTAAAATAGGCAGACAGACAAGTAAAATCCATGCTTAGTCTATTTTGGTTTAAATTGTGAATTCATAGTAGTAATCTGTGGAATTAGTGGAAAATGCTCTTTCCAAGTGTTTTTAGTAAGGATGGTCTCACAAAGAAATGAAGGATATTTGAAAGAAAGTATACTTAGTTTCTGTGTCACTTGTCCTGTGCTTGTTTCAATAATAAATAGAGAACTTCTGTATTTTCAGCAGTCTCATGTTAAGGGCTTAGTGTTGCTCTCTTACCCTTAAAAAAATATTTACTCAATCAGGATCATGCATCCTTAATACTTAGGAGATTGTTAGGTCATTTCTGTTAAAATTTGATACAAGGTCACATGCTCGGTAGCTTACAAGATGTGGTTGCTTTTTGTGCTTTTTTTAGCAAGGTGAAAAGAAATACTGCTTAAAATGGATGTGGTCACTGCCTGTTCTTCTCTAAGCAGTGACTAAAGTCGTTAGCAGGTTTCAGTGTGAATTTAGGAAAATATTAGTTATGCTACACTTACAAAAAAGGACCCAGTATTGTTATTTTGTTGTAACAATATTCAGCCATTATGAGGAATACTGCTAGGACTGATATAATCTTAATATTTTCAGTGCAGCATTTCAGTCCTATAATAATTTCTCTTGGGGTGTTTACCAGTATGGTTTGATTTAGCAGTTACTTTTAATAAATGCCTCTTGCTAATGATAGGTCCTGCCTTACTTATAGTATTTGATACCTTGCAGGATGAACAACTGAATTTAACAACCAAGCAGTTTGAAAAAAAAGAATTGTACATATTATGTGTTCTACTTTTAAAAGAAGCAACTGGATGGTAGATAATGCAATAGAAGTGCGTCTTAATAAAGTTTACCTTTCTAAGTTTAAATATTTTTTATTAAGAAAATACTCCTTAAGAATGACTAGATCTATTTGAAAATTAGGCTTATGGTTTAAATATGGCTGCAGGCTTGTATACAAAGCTACCCATTAATTGACATGCAGTGTGAAAGTTACCGTGACACTGACTGTCCTCTTGAAACTTCAGGGAAAAGATTTCAGTATTTCTCACCTTATTTTGCTGCCTATTTCTTAAGTTACTGTATAAATCTGACTTTTCCTTTTGATGCTTATCCATGTTCATGGATATTCCACAATGGGCACATAATTCACATATGTAGAGATTTTTGGTTAGCAGTAGCTATATGGAATGTATCTTCTCTGTTTGCTTCATGTTTAAGAGATGAAAAAATGGTTTGTGTTTGGCTATTTTTTCCAACAACTTTCTTAGGAGAATCTGTCTTGGTAGGCAAATAAGTACTGGATTTCATGTGCTCCACAGATAGATGCTGAAGATTCAATGCCTCGTTGCTTCTCTGATATCTGCATGTGCCAGGAACAGGTTCATCTGGGCCTCCAGAGAACAGGGAAGTGAGATTGCAGACCTAATGCTTAGGGAAAAAGAAGGTAGATATTCTGCTGAGAAACAAAGTATCACCTTGGACTCTGCTCTTAAGATTCTTGGAAAAGAAAATGCATCTCGGAATGAAAAGATGCTTCCAAGCAATT